TAACTAAAGACCCCCGGGATGGAATGTGATGCGCTTTGGCACAGATGATATAATACCTTTCAAACTAATGTACTTTAAGCCGTGGCGGACGTGGGTGCAGCGTCCATACATTTTTGCCCAATGTCCTTTGTTTTCTTACACAGATATTGACTATCTTCCTGATGAGTATTGGATTTTTCAGGAAATCGATCGTACTAGATACCTCAATTTAGGGTGCCCTTCTCATGCTGCTGCCACTGATTAGGGCGGTCATGAGGACTTGCAGCACTGCATTTTTGTTTAGTCCTGCCCCTCCCCTATTTCAAGGAACAAAAAATCTGGGAGTGTGATCACACTGTAGAAACCGTATTTTTACTGATTTCAAATTATATTTTTAATAGCGTCGAAAGGTTTTTTGTATTCCAGCATCTTCATTTTGTGCTCTCCTACAAAGACGTGTTTTATTAATATCATCTGGGAATCTTGTCTTACTAAATAGATCTAGTGTCGTGAGCTCTTAGACATGAAATGTTGGGAGAAAAATAGGATTTTTCATTGTTGTTTCCGGACCACAATTTGGGTGCAGGCCTTTCCTATGTATGGAATAAGGAGATTGGGCTATGATCCACCACGCGGGCTCAGTGCGGATTAATGGGTGTAACGATTGTAGATGCAGTTGGCCAATGGCTTAACGTGCCTGCCATAGCACGGGTTATTCCACTAATCCCCATTGACTAGCCCCATCAATGGGTGATTGATTGTAAACTTTTATTCCATTTAACCCCATACAATGCTAATCAAATTGATGATGGGGATGAGTGGAAGAAAAGTTCATAATGGGGTTTAATAGAATAACCCCAAATTTTATCAACCGTCCAGTCCGGCATCGAGTTCGACGGGCCATCGGCATCGAGCCGGACAACGATGTATACCTACGCAGCTAATGCCAGGCCAAAAACGGCTGTATACCATATATCCCTCATTATGTTCTTACTTAAAGAATTCCTTTTCCAGATTGGATTTTTCTGCTTGGAACGATATAGTCGGAATTATTCTGTTTAATCTGTATGAAATAAAACAGCAGGGAATTTTATTTTCATCAGAACATTTTATTTTACATTGCTCACAATAGAATTAAGAATATAAAAAGTTTTTTGTCTGTACGTACAATACAAACATTTATGAACACACATTTCATAATTACTGTAGGTAATCTTCAGTTTGATTGAAGGAACTTTAACTATTCTTTTAGCTACTTATTTACGACGTAAAAGCGGTTGTGTATGTTAAACATAATTTTATTAAATTGATAATAAAGTTTTATTTAGGTTAATACTTATGTATTTATTTTTTGCCAAAATATTACGCACCAGTAGTTGAAAAACTTTTTTGTTACCTTCATATCAAAATCCAGTAGAACCACACCACATATTTGAAATATATTTTACTACTGGAATAAAAAGACATTTAAGCATTTGATATAATAATATCGTGTGTTCTAAGCCTGGTGAACATTAATTTTAATAGAAAAGGCAAAGCAATCCCTTGTACACAACCCCATGTAAAAATCTTTTAATTGCAACTACAATTCCAATCTTATATTAAGTAAATATATTTTTAAGTACCGATATTCTGGTATACAATTAAAGTAAGTACAATTAAGTAAGTATAATGAAAATGTCAATTGTATCAATCACCTAAATTAATATTACGCTAATACCATAATTTCGATGTTCGAACACAATGTCGTATACTTAAGTACCATACTAAATTGAGCTATCAAATCTATCACACGATTTACTTAATAAAAATAATAAGTAGTCGTGAAAATAGACAGCCTAATAAATAGAGTTAATGTGATCAATATAAAATTAAGAAAAAACTAAGGGCTGGAAATATGGACATGGCATGGCATAAGAAGAAGGTATGTGATAAGTTAAGACTATAAATCGAAATATATTTTTACTACAAAGAATCCAAGGGGACCGGTTGCCTAATTGCCTAACGGGATTGCTATGGCTATCGATAGTGTTTACGATTTCACTTTGTTATTTCTGAATGCCGAAGATTTTCAAATACCTCACGATCATTTTGTTTAATAATGTTATTACCAATGCAAACGAAAAAAAAAGAGCGCGGCGCATTTGTGAATCTCCGGCGGTCAGAAGTAACAAAATAAAATGGTCAGCGATAGCGATAGCCATAGCAATCCCCTTAGGGAATTATCCCCCAGGCATCAGACGGGAGATTTAGATTAAAAATGTAGCAGTTATATGCATAAAAATATATTAAAGTTATACTATGTTCCCTTTCGAGAATTAATACTAGATGTCAGGTCAGTAAAATAGATATTTACATACAATTTATCAATTAATTAGTTGATCACTGAATGCTATTCTTATTATTCTGCTAGCGGTGGCCCGCGACTTCCTCCGCGTAAACTTTAGTTTTTTGAGAATCCCACAGGTACCTAACATTTTTCCAAGTAGCCTATGTCCCAATTCAGATTAAAAACTATATGCGTACCAAATTTCATCCAAATCCTTTAAGTTGTTTTCGTGTGATTAAGTAACAAACATAACAACATAAAACTAAAGTTAACGCGGACGAATTCGCGGGCGAACACTGCTATATAAAATTATTTTTGATTAATTAAGATTTGTATTATTATCAACGGCAGTGGTTTAGATCCACGGAACACAGAAAGAGGTTTCCGTTTTTAAATCTCTACATTTTGGCTTTGCCTTGCCGTGCCTTGGTGATGTTTTCCAGCCATAACTTATAAGCCAATTCATAGCCATATTCGTCACAAACTTACGCTAAGGCCTAGTAATGTTTGATCTAAAAGCAAAAAAAAGGTTGGCAGTTCACTACGTTACTTCTAGATTTCTAGCTGTTTTTTCATTAAAAAAACCCCAAAGATAATGATATTTTGAAAGATGCAGTAAGATAAAATAGTATTATTTTTTATAAAAGCCTTAACTCAGTAATGTGTCGACAGGATATAAACTAGTGTCTAAATAAAATGCAGAAGCAAGGACACGAGGTACAGTCGAAAAAGTTAGTGGTCTGCTACTTTTGAGGTATAATGATAAAAATAAGAAATTTTTATCTAACATAATTTTTACAAGAAAAGAGTAAAGACCTAGACTAGACTACCTTTTATCTAGTAAGTAAAGATTTTCTTTAGATACAAAAATCTAGCAAAGAGGCCATTTCTATTGTTAAAAACGGAAGCAGAATACAACTCCTTTGAATAGACCAACTTCTTTCATAGGAAATATTGTGTGAAAAGTCCAAAATCCGTCCATTTATTCATATTTGCTATTTGAAAATTTTACAGTAGTCTCTGCTCCATTCCATAAAGAGCATAATAAGGATATATTGCTGTTAAATGTACAAATAACAAATATAATAGCCATTGTAAAATGCTACTATCAAAAATCGTAGCAAACCACCATCTCCTTTATACATTAGATAATAATATATTATGTAAGATATAGGGAAAATAGATACATATGAATTCACGCCGCTAATTGCTATCTTACGTAAAAAATTAACTACTAGGTCTGTCATATCATTTTACAATCAACACCCACATACAAACAGTCTTGTATTTTTTTCAATAAAATCAATTGTACGTACAGAGACGCTATTGTTGTAAAAATGAGCAAAAAATATCTATCTATCTAGGTATTTAAGTATTACGCTGGTTTTATGTAGGTCGTTTTAATAAAGTGTAAAATTTGATGAAAAAAATATCTGGGAATGGTTGCATAATCGAGTCTTTCGATTTCCTTAAAATGATAAGGCAAGAAATTTTGTGCTTCATTTTTAGGAATGAATAATTTAATATTTTCATTCATTGTGCTTTGTAGAAAGGTGTTATACCTCGACATAGATAATTTAACCCACGTTCACTGTTAAAGTTTGTAAAATGCATTTTTAAGTAGTATATTTTTCCCATTTGGAATTAATAACTATGGATTTGGAAAAAACGTACAGCCCTAAATTGAAAATTATTTGATGTGCACGTACTCCTACGGATTGGCTGCTGTTGTTAAGTCTTGGTGCTAAGTTAAGTTTTGACCATCCTACATAAGTTCTAAACGATGCCTCTTTGACTGCAAAGTACTTTATTACTCCCTATCCTTATTTGTTGGCGGTATACGATTCCCTTTGTCAACTCCACCTCGCTGTTTGTGTCGCACCTTTACATCATTTTACATTACAAGCAAATTACCTGATGTAATCAGGGTGCAGTGTGACGTCGCGCTAGGGGTGTCTTCAGGATCGTTTTTTTATCTTCAGACACGCGTTCGTCTCGCGGAACGGCTTATGCAGATGATGGGCCGCGCTATGCAGACGGTGGTGAAGTGTAATATGGGGATGAGGTGGGCAGCACGCGTCGTTTATTTAATAGCGGAATACGTTCAGTAATCAGGGCGTGGTATGACGTCGCGCTAGGGGCGTCTTCTGCGGCGTAATTTTATCTTCAGCGGCGCACGCGAGTCACGCGTACGTCTCTCTGAACCGCTTGTGTAGATGATGCACAGCGTTGAGCATACGATGATGGAGAGTAATGTGCGCGTGGGGCGTATTGGCGAGTGGCGCGCGACATTGTTTAATGAACGTTCAGTAATCAGGTCGTTGTATTACGTCGCGCCAGGGGCGCCTTCTGTAGTTTTTCATGCACTAGACTCACGAACATCTCTCTGAACCTATTGTGCAGATGGTGCGCAGTGTTGAGCAGGCAATGGTTGATGGAGCGTTAGAGGCGCGTGCGGCGCATAAGCGGGCACTATTACAAGATGTTCATTAATAAGGGCGTTGTATGACGTCGCGCTAGGGATGTCTTCTGCGGTGCTAGTTTGTCATGCACTAATCACGCGTACGTCTCTCTGAACCGCTTGTGCAATTGGTGGGCAGCGAAGAGTAGACGGTGGTGGAGTGCTATATGCGCGTGGTGCGTATATGCGGGAGACGCGCGACATTGTTTAATAGCGGAAGACGTTCTGTAATCAGGGCGTGGTATGACGTCGCGCCAGAGGTGTCTTCTGCGGCGGTAGTTTGTCGTGCACTAGTCATGCGTACGTCTCTCTGAACCGTTTATGCAGATGATGGGCCGCGTTGAGCAGACGGTGGTGGAGTGTAATGTGCGCGTGAGGCGTATAGGTGGGCGGCGCGGGCGCAGGCGCAGCTCGGGGTGGCAGGTTGGGCAGCTTGGCGTCGTTGTCGGGGTGGCAGAAGAACTCGACGCAGTGTCGGCCACGGGCGCGCGCATAAGCTCCCGATGGTACTACCACGCGGTGCATCTGGAATGGTAAATAGGTGTTAGTTCAGTGAAGGAACATCGTACACTTACGTTGAGAGAAAATTCAAGATAGGTCACGTTTGAGGTGGACGGGATTTAATATAACACAGCAGATGCTGATAGCATTATTACGCGGTGTATTTAAATGTTTTCTTGGTGTCACCTTATTGTGAAGCAGAACCGTAGGCAGAGGTAATGGACTGAGCATTCCTTAATCAACTGGACTGGATTGGACAGATCAGTGTGAGAGACATGAAGTGATCGGTGGACACATAGTTATTCAGTTCTTAAAGGTTATTGCATTCATCTTCCAATAGGAATTTCCTATGTTTTTTAAACGCATGTTTAGATAGCGGAAGGCGCAGGTTTGAGTCCTGTCTGATACCTGGACCGATTTTCTTTAGATTTATTAATCTGGCAGTTTTAATGCATATTACTAGTAAACATCGTAACTTACCAGGGCGGGAAGGAGATTGGTCGTCCAGCCAGCCAGCAGCTCGCCTGTTTGTACGAGGATGGCTCCAGGCAAGTGACCCACAGCCTCCCATTTCTCACTCCCGTGCAACTTGACCTGAAACATAGCGAATTTCCTCCTTAAATTCATATATTTTAAAATCACGAGGGCGCATAAAAAACACTGTACTCGAATTAATTGTGCACAAAACAAGCTCAAATGTAAATTAATAATGAGGTAATCAGATCATATAATAGTTTGAAGGGATTACATTTAGTACAAACGTGAATTTATGATTTTTCCCCTGGAATTGAAATAAACCACAAAGTTACTCAGATTTTTTAACACAGACCTGGTTAGTTAGGCCAGTAACAACGATAATAATAGGCTGGTACTGATAATTTCAAACAATAAAACAAACATTCTTTATTCAAATTAGATGTATAGTAATACTCTTGCGAATAGGGATGACGACATTTTTTTTCTTTGTTTATCAGGTAGATTATCTAAAAGTATTGCACACGTATTTTTCTTTTTTCACATAATATAAACATTGCAGATATATATTGTTAAGAAAAGTTGCATGACGTCACGTTTTGGTACAATTTTCACTTAAAAGTGACGTCAAGAGCCCCTACTCCCAAACTTAGATGCGCTTTATTTTTGACATTATTTGGTTGATTGCCCAAAGAAAAAATTCGTGTCCATTATTTTTTGATCATCTAACTGACGGACTTAATAGAATTTCCTTTACGTTACCCCGTCGTCACTCCTATTGTTCAAACTTATTATTGTCCAAAATAAGATTTTCCCGTAATCGTATTCTTACCTCTAACCCGCCTTCGGAATCTTGCGCTAGTAGCGTGAAAGTGCCGTAGTCGGAATGTGCGCCGCATCGCGTGTACAAAACTGCGTCACTTTGACAACATGGACCTTCGTCTTCAGGGGGCACGGGCGGGTAATACAATATCCTCATCGTGGATGGGTTCTTTCCGTCACTCTCAAGCATGCCCGAGTGACATTCGAGCAGCGTAGCTGGGGGCAAACCTGAGGAATAATAAAATACGATTTCTGTGTAAAGTAGAATTAGCGGTGAGTACTTGCAGAGAATCGGTGGCATACAGTTGACGTACACAAGAGCTTGTAACAGCCTAGACTGAATAATGAATTTGCATTTTGCAACAATTGGTAACGTTTTTTACATTGGTACATACAGAGAGTTCTTAAACTTTTTCGTTTACTGCCCACTTTATTAATGAATCATATTCTAAAGCACCTCCTAAAACTATTGTCTATAATACATTAACTTAAATTCCTAATCGCAAAATTTTTGAAAAATAAGATGTGATAAATTATGTATTTACGTATCTATAATGATCAAATAAGGTAGCAATAAAGGTCAAATATTCGATGCAGTAGAGCCGATAGTGATAAAAAAATTAACACTTCTCTACTCAGCGAATTAAGTTAGAGAAGTATTTCTTGGCATAAAAGCATTTTTCTATTTTCTCTCGACCCAAAGAAAGATTGCACCAGTGTAACGCTACATCTGGAAAATTTTGGGTCCAGATTAGAATTAATTATAAATACAATGGCATTTGGTAGTCAGAAATTATTTTTCAAACTGCTGTATTTCTCGATAAACTTTTTAAACTATCTGCGCGATAATGTTTGGATCTGGAATATTCTTTCTATGTTTCCTTTGTGCCAAGCATACCACTATAACAATGTTTAAAGGTTTACTTAATTGACTAAGCGTGAACTTCATATTTACAATTTGCTGATTCGTTCTAATACAGACGACTTGTGCAACAGTTTGGTATTGTATAATTTCATTACATCATACAATACAAACAGCGCTGATTGAAGCATTTTGTCGACTTCTAAATTTCGTAATAATTACATTGTTATTTGTTATAAAAGTAAAATTGCATTAAGTTACACACCTGCTAAATGGTACGTGTAAAGTACTTACATGAAAACAAATTATTATTTATAACCAATAAAAACTATTAATGTTCATTTCTAGCTACATTTTAGTACAGTAATTAGAAGTTTGTGAATCCATTGCTTCTAAATCAACCGCGTTTAATTTCTGCGTTTAAACACATATCATTATTATATTTAAATAATAAGCTATAAATATTGCTACCCCTTGCATTATTGAACCAAGTTGTTCGATTAAGTTATTTCGATTTTGTGCGATGATTTCGATGAGGATTTGTATGTTCGATAAAGTTATTATTATTACAAGCCAACCTAGACCACTTTTGCTCTGGACGGTAATACTTTATAGGCTTACCATGGCGTCCCAGTTTGACTAGGATTGTCTTGGTTTTGAAGTATGTATCCCATTCTAAGGTCTTAGCCGAGTTTTTAATTAATTTCGGTTGAGGTTCCATCTACATAAAGAGTCGCGGGACGCTAAGCAACAAGCAGAGAGAAGTTTTAATATCAATTAGTAATCCTAGTCAAAATGGGTTCTGATTTCAGATTTCAAGATAATGACAAGCCCATCTCTTTTTACAAATAGTGGTCGATTATGCATCCTATATTGACAGATTAATGATTTCAATCTTGTCATTAATTGTATTTTTAGCACTCTTCTATTTCTAGATCTATCTAGGTATCTATCTATCTTCACGCCCGGATCCCGGGTGGGGTAAGAAGAGATAACAAAGCACATCTTTCTATGCATTCACATTCATTACATCATCATTATTATTACTATTTTCATATGAATTTTTAATGAATAACATTCTCTAGTGAGTATACGACACAAACTAACCGAGGGCATAGGCGAGCGCCTGCAGCAGCACCCGGGAGAGGTTGGTGAGGTCCTTGGCCAGCGGCTCCGCGTGGTTGATGAACTGCGGCACCTCCTCCTCCGCCGGCATCGCGGCCGCAGACAGCGTCGTGATGTTGAACGAGTGCCGTAATTCCTGAAACAAAGGAATGATATTCTTTAAAAAAAAACGATTTTGCCATGTAGAGCATCGTCAAGATAGGAACATATGGCAGTTGCGAAAAATTAGCAACTGATTTTATATAAAAAAAAGAAATATATGCAGTAAAAGTTAAGTTAATAAAAAAACTATAAGTTCTATGCTCAAGTTAGGTATCGAACTAAAATCCTTTTCTGAGTGATCATTAGACCAACTGAGTTCTTATCATTCTAATCAAATTACGGTGCATAATGGAGTATGCATGTAGAGTCCATGATTTAGATTGTCCTAGAAAACTATTTACCTTTTTCGTAGAGTCGAACTGCTCCATGCCAGGTCGTATATACCCATGATTGCTGACTGGTTTCTTTAAGTACTGGGACTGACAACCTTCGGGCAGTGCACAGAAGTTGTCCAGGTCAACGTAAACTGCTTTGAGCTGAAATAACACAAAAGGAGGAATTACAGTGACGTGAATTAATTGATAAATAATTGCGTACCTATCTTTATCTAAGTCAATAAATATAATGATCGATGTAATTCCCAAGAAATTAACTTGTAGTCAGATAAGATAAGCGGTGGGTACCTGCAGGGTTATAATAATTGCGTTTTTGTTAAAAAAGTAGAAACAGAAATACATTTCATTACGAGTTTTACATAGTGCTCCCACTCATAACTGCGAATTCGCATCGCATTGCTATATCTGTGATTTCGTACACATATTACGTCACACTTGGTGACACCATTTTAGTCCGCTTTGAGACTTTCCTATTACGATTGTTTTTGTAGACATGGTCATAATAAACTCAAAAGCTCTTCAAATGAAGATATGCTCATTCTAAAATAATAAAAAAAAAACTTTTTCTGTTGTCTAACCATGGTATTTTCGAGTAAAATAGCTTCATCAGCTTTCTTAACTGTATTAAATGGATGAACCCAAAATCTTCTTTTTCTTCTATTCGCTGGGTGTGCGATGACAGCACCAAGTAGCGGTTACAATTACAGAGGAATCGGAATATCAAATGGCTGGCTGTCATTACGAAGATTATGAAAACAAAAAAATATTTTTAATGAAATATCGTATTAATTCTATTCGATAATTATATGTGATATATGATGATATGTCGATAAAAACTCAGACTTTTTGTATTTCTTGTCTAAAATGACAGAATAAACAAATTTCTGGTAGTACAAAGGGACTTTCTCATGGCTGATTTTACGAAGTAAAAAAATTTTATCGAATAACACATTTCATATATATTGCAGATGAACATTTATGACTGTAAAGTCCTTAATAATGCAGACTTATTGTGTATTTTCAGTTAAACATGGCCAAATTAATTATAAAAACTGGATTCCGAGCAATCGCTCATCGCTTGCCAACCACAACGACAAAAAAAGCACGGAAAACAATTACTTTTGACTCAACATGTGAAAGATGTAAAATCATTGTAACGTGCTACTTCCTACAAAATACAAAAATAATATAGTAAAAAAGGTTCTCCAAAAGTTATATTACTTAGTTTATATATTAGCGAATATCCATTTCATTCGTTGTTTTCGTTCCCAACGTGCTTATGGAAATTTATAGAATGTGTTATCACTGTTTTTGCCATTGTTTTTGTTCTTAACTAGATACGCAGCAGGTTTCGTGACCCAATTTTATTTATTTTTACATAAAATGCACGGATACGTAAATTTTGCAAGTAAAAAGTGACAGTTGATCTGCTGAAAGTTCCTTTTTTCGCCATAGTGCGCGCTGCGATCGATTCGTTGTATGGTCACCTAAAGCTTTGCTGCACGAAATTGCATCGCAGGAATTCGCATCGCAAGTTTCTGCGATGCGACGTCGTATAGCATCGCATAGCAGTTTTGTGTGGGATCCCTTATATATCTACAATCATTTTCTTAAACCTAACTTTTGACTAGTTTCAAACTCAGATGTAGGTATAATAATAATAATCATGTCGTAGGATGATTTGATAAATCGAATTTTCGCGAAAACGCGGATAATTGGACAATGGCGATGACATTTCTCAATTTTACTGAAATGACGATGACCTATCAACACATATTGAACGGAAACGTGATAGAACTCACCCGGTGATGAGATGAAACGGGGGTTAAAAGTTTCTATGGTCGGTTTGTACGGGGTTTCAAAGTAAGAATTGATTTGCCCAAGGACTGTCTAAATAGACATCGATAGATGCAAAAATTGCGATCATTCTCAGTAGACCCATTGGCTAGATCCGTGATGGATCTAGAGGGTTCAGAGTTTCATTACATCCTGATTGCAAGCTATAGATCTACGGAGATTTTTTTACCATGTCCATTTAGCAAAACGTCCAACTCTGAATACAGAACATCTGTGAATTGGACATTTTGCTACATGAAAATTAAGGTAATTAGATTTACTGTTCATTAGAGGTTTTACGCTGTTGGACGTTTTGCTACTTAGACCTTCAGATCGTGAAGCATTTTACTTTTCTCAGTAGATCCATTTTTTTTTATTTAATTTATTTAATCAAGCAATATTACAATTATAATACATATTATAGTGCAAACAAAAACCAGAAACGTTTATTCGTGCACTACATTCACCGCTTTACATCTAGTTACAATAAATAAATATAGGTTGTCACACTGTAGTAACTATCATTAAATAACAATATTTTATAAAATAAGTGGGTATGTTGAAAATAGCAAACATTGGCATGACAATTAATTTGCACTCGCACGAACCTATACCGGTTGGGTAAGTTTTTTTTTACTAGCTAAGCATACAAGTCGAAATGCAGTTATCGTAGATAAAGGATGCTCCAATTGTAATGATAAATATGTTTTTTTTTTGTTTTTATTTTAGGTTCGTTGTAACGGTTATTTTAAATGAATTATTTTTAAGTTATTGATAAAGTGACTTTTTAATGTGCATTTTATGTTTCCTTTATTTAGTGCGTTTTTTATTTCAAATGGTAACTTATTTACTAAATTTGGAACAATGAATTGTAATGTTCGTTGCCCATATAGGTTATTTGATTTTGGAATTAATAATTTATTGGCTAGATCCAAACTGAAGAAACCAGTAATAATTGAAACTTTAGTCGTCTTCAACAAGATTTTTATAAATATTTTGCTAACCTTCTCTTCGGTAATGCCATGGTTCACCAGCATAGCCAGCCCCTTCCCACTGAGTGCTGCAAACAATTGTTGTCCGATGCGCCTCACCACTGATCTCATAGGACATGTATCTGTGCCTGAAACAATAAGAAATAATATATTGTTTATGCAGTCCAAAACTTAAAAGTATGTCTAATTTATGTGCATAATTCTTATTTAAACTTATTATTACAGGCCTGTTTGGAAGTGAAAAACGAAAGATAACAAAGAATGCACCAGTTATTTTATTTTATTTCTTAAGCATTTAACTGCTAGATGTTTTAATCTAAAGAAAATTTTAGTAGAAAAATCCGTCCGGTCGGCGTGAAATTTTTTCTAGTAAAATTTTCTTTAGACTTAAATAGGTACATCAATTGTTATCTTTCCGGGCAGATATTGAATGTCTATTGAATTGACGGATAGGGCAGCCAACTTCTGAAACAGTTGTAGGTGATAAAATAGGTAGTATCGTGCTTCTATTTTTGATGTGTAACATCTTTCCTCTCGCTTTCGTGCAATTTGTGGGAGTGATTACGTGAAGTGAGACGGAAGTGGGCATGTAACAGGAAGTTAGGAAAGCGCGCGCTATTTGATTTGATTTTAGAGCATAATGTTCAAATGGCTTATTTATTCCTTTTGTAGTTGGTTTTATTTCATTTTTTACTATTATAAGATGAGGTTTCAAATGTTACACATCATACGTGACTACTGTAAGGCTCGCTCGTTTTTTTAAGAGAACATCTAACTAATGCAAACCGATGCCTTTTTATATCTTCTAGGCTGCACGGCACCTTTATTAGTTTACCTAGCCGACTCTGGGTGTGTTGATGTCAAGAATATTTATCATTACGTATCGTGACGATAGCGATAAATACTGATACATAATATCGATCGATTTACAAAGTTTTGCTATGATTAATATCAGAATATGGTATAAAAAAATCTACCTCGGTTTTGACATAGTTTTTATTATCATGTTAATTGTGGCTTTGCAGTTAGTTGTGAGGTTGCGGACAATTGCACAGGAGTAGATACCTGAGACCTAACTAATGTTGAGCTAGGTAAACGTGCTGTTGAAAGTGTGGCGCGACGGGTGGCAGAGCATTGCGTAACAATGAGGCTTACTTCCAAGCCGTAAAGACAAATGTTTTCTATTGTAATAATATCAAATTCTCGTTAGTAGTTGACGTTACACTAACACTTATTTTAATAAAAATAATAATAGATGAGATCAAACGGAACCCAATGAGGGAATGAGGACTATACTAACTAGTTTGTGAATTAATAAGAATAAGGAAAGGAAGCAAGGAAAACTATCTACTTATTTACATGTCGTTATAGTCTAGCTAGGAGCAGCGGAAAACAAGAACATGATTAATGACAAAGTTTGTCTAAGTTACCTACTCGGAGAATTTCCTTTAAAAAGGGGAAAAAACAACTAAGTTTTGAGGTGACTTATGGCCAAACTCAAGAGATGTCAAATAAATTTAATGGTATTCTATTGTCATTGCAAATATAGAGATTCTCGAATTTTTTATCAAACTTTAAAGGTAATTGACATCTTTGCGTGCGACTGTTAGAGTCAGTTCTAACGCAGGCCTACTTTGTGATTATTTAATTAGATTTTGAGTAATTGTTTCACTGTTTTGATTATTTTAAGAATACAAGGAATGCAGTAATAATAGAAAGAAAAAAAATTATTACAGGCGCAGCTCTTATTGCACAACATGAATAAAATATGCGAGGTACCGTTCCGACTTAGCCGAAGGTGCGACCGTGACACGATTTTTAACTCATAATATCATTTTCTTTTACAAATGACCTGCCATCAGATGTGTTAAAGAAACTGGTCAACTGGGTATTTTTCTTGTTGACTTCTACTGCTTAAGAAACTGAATTACTTATCCTTTAATCTTGACGAATACAATAGACTCTATTGCAGTTATTTTAGTGAGTAAACTCAATCTAATCATCACTAATATTCATTAAATACTGTTTATATCAAAATCTTGTATGATAAGGGAGATTTGTACCTAGGATTCAGTCCGCGGTTACGCTCGCGTGGACTACCCGTCATACACCGCTTATTTAATCTCTGAGGGGCTGAAGTTTTGAATATTTATTAGGTCTGATCTAACCTATGAAGCTATTATGAAGAAATACATGAACATGACTGAGTCTTTAGATCGATACAGTAAAATTACAGCTTTATTCGACTCCGGGTTCAGACAGGCGTTATTTTTAAATTCGTTGAATGCAGTTAGTTTTGTTTTTTAAATAAAAATAAAGTCTTCCTTCAGCGAAACTCTCTATCTGCAAAAGGTATTTAAGATTCTTTTCTTCTATGTGGCAAAGTTTTCGGACCCAGTATAACTTCTTTTTTATCATTACCTACTTACCTTTACTAAGAGAACTTGAAGTCTGAATGAAATATGTAGATCTAGGTATCAAATATAAACAGATTTGCAAGAGCTTTAGTGAAAATATGTTTTTTTGCTATTAAGGATTAGACACGTGGGTACCTTTATTATCAAAAGCATTAGAACATGCGTTTCCTTGTAGGATTCTATAGAAAACGCATATTTTATTGCTAACGTCGTCGTCAGCATTATAATTGTTTTTAGCCACAAAAGAATGTAGGCACTTATAAGTATTTCTTAAAATTTCAAAGCTATTTCAATTGCGTCTACCTGGCTCCAACTTTTGGCATGAATGTTAGTAAAAATGGTAACCCTTATCAACAACTTAAGTGGGAATGATGCAAAAAAGTTGACACTTCTAAATGTTGCCGTTGGCTCACAAACGTATCTTCTGCATGTCATTCATCAAAAAAATAAACAGGGAGATAGGTAGGTACCACCTACTCTGTATTATGTGTTTCACAGGATAGAAAAATGAGGTGACATCGTAAGCGTTCTTTGACATCGTAAGACTTTCTACAAAGCAAAAACCAACCATGTTGCTCTATTGAAAGAAGAGACTGATTTTCACGCTTTTGAAATATATAAATAATCATTTTTAACAATATTGGTGAACCTTCTACAAAGTATTAGGAAACTTAAAAAAGATGGATGAAATCAGTATTGTCGTTTTTCAAGTTAGGGCTTATAGGTATAGGATTCATTCCTTTTTTTTATAAAAAAATACATCTACTTATTGCTTTCTAAGAACAATCCTTTAAGTAGTCCGAAGTAAAACTTGTTTGGTTTAAATTAAAAATAAAACTACAGTTAATAGTTATGTAACTATAAAATTGTTTTATGAAGCTTATCGGTTCGTTTGTAGTGTGAATTCGTTACACATAACAAAAACGCGGAAGACACACACAACAACAGTCTGGTTTATTTTAGATTAGCCCAATAACCTTAATAGGTTCTTCGCTTGACAAGCTGTTTGCCTTTTGAAACATGATTTAGTGTGATAATCCGCGTGCTCTGGATGCTTTATTATCACCTAAATGACCTCCCATTGACGATGGTTAATCAAACAAAATACCTTATTCACACCCTTAAAAATGTATGAAAGGAAAATCATGTATCTGTGTATTAAGCTATGACAAAGTAGAGAAGTAAAAAGATTTCTCGATACAAAAAAAAATTAGGCAATTTTCCCAAAAAGAGAATCAGCTGTTTCACATGCTTGATATTAATATTATTATGTAAGTGGTCATTTATCTCGGGGCGCAGGCCACGGTCGTCGTGAGTGACTCAATTGTGCTTGTCGGGTACAAAATTTTTGACGTCATCCGTTTTACTCCAAATACCGTTTTTATTTACACTGACACTCGATATCTACTGAATTTTAGTTGGAATGGAGATATGAGCGTATTTAATCAAAGTAAGTAAAAGTAATAGCCGTTTACGGAATATCCGTGAAGAAAGAAGTATAATTTGAACCATTTCATATGGGTGGAAATTAATCCGCCTCAGAGTAAGTAACTACATACTCTGTAACTATTTTCTTTACGTATAAACGTACGGTATAAATTAAAGATTTACCTTAACCTTTTGAGCACGCGATCGTTTAAGAGAATTGAGAAAATAAGCATAAACGCAATACTGGCCCACCCCTGATCTTTGCTGCTTTATCTTGCGTGTCTATTGCGTTAAGTGTCAAGTTGCAGTAAGTAATTTTATACTCGTTTCCTATTGTAGGGTTACAAACAGCATCCTTTGGATGTGTTTTGATGTTGTTAAAAGATAACATTTTGCTAATACGAGGCGTTGTAATGGGTAGCTATATTGTGTACCTCATTAAGTTGCCTTGTTTAAGCGAAGTGCTCCAGTTTGCACAAACACGTGTAAAAATATCTTACACATGCGTCAGTATACCCACCTTATTTCAATGGAATATGGTACAGGATATTTCAATTTGCATTTTTTCACATATTGTGTGTAAATGATCTATCTATGCTAAGTCTAATATTAGTAACATACTGGCATAGATTTAAATACGAGCCCTGGATAAACGCGGAAACCAAACAACTCCAATGAATAACTTCGTCATATTTTTCTTTGTAGAATTGATATTAAAAAAAAAGATTGTTGCAAGCAGAAGTTACTATGACAGAATACCTACATCGTTTAATGGTAACAAAAAGACTTGTTATAATTTTTACTTTTTTTTAAAGCATGTTACTGCTTGATGTTTAAATCTAAAGAAAACATAACTAGAAAAAATTCCACGCGGACCAGGCAGCAGACGGGACTCGAACCCGCACCCTTCGCAAATCGGGCGAATGCACTGACCAATTATGCTACCGCGGCCCTCACGGACCGCGTCGAAATTCCTCTAGCCATTCTTAAGCTGCAAGGCAGAGCCATCTCTTCGCATTATAGGTAATCCACAATGTCAAATGAATACTTTTACAAGTATTAAACATTTGAAAGAAGAAATAGCAATTATAGTTATATTTTTTTTAAAGCATGTAACTGCTTGATGTTTAAATGTAAAGAAAACATAACTAGAAAAAATTCCACGCGGACCAGGCAGCAGACGGGACTCGAACTCGCACCCTTCGCAATCCGGGCGTACAGGTACAGAATTTAATTTAGTAAGGTTTTTGAATAATTCACAAATCCACCCCTTAAGATCAAGT